CGACATCCAACCAGCTTTTCCAGCCATGGTGGACAATGACATGGCCTGGCAGACAGAAGCCTAAAATAACAATACTGTCAGACAAGAAACATATCAATAACCGGACACTATTTCCAGGTGAGAAGCTTGAGTCTATTCTGCAAAGTGTGTAGATCCCCCTTTTAAGCTGTGGTCATTTCAGAGATATGACCAGAAATTATTACCACAGCTAAACGGGGCCCATTTACCTCTCAATTTGTTCCGAGTCCATGCCCTTGGTATGGACTGTCTTATGACTGGCTGTTGAATTCCCTCCTGATTCAGCAAGACTGACCTTCGTGGCAACTCTAGCTGCTTCAGTTGCCTTGCTGTCAGTTTATGACCACAGACATTGTACAGCGTCATTGTACAGCGTCAAGTCACCCAAAAGATGTTCAGACAGTTTACAAAAACAAATTCGGGAATGAACCCTTGCTTAAGTTCACGATCTTCAAAATGCCTGCATGTAGAACAACCAGTTCACATTATACCAACAGATCACTGATTTTGTAAACCGTTTAAAAAAAATGCTAAGATATGAAATATTAAACATAACAGCTGAATTTTAAATCTTCAAAATACTTTGATGAACTGAGATCCAGTTGATACGCCACCAGATGATTGACTTTGCAAAATGTCCAAAAATGTCACATACACAAACTTACATTATACACTTTAAATTATTCTGATGAATAAACAACTGCTTTGTTTTTGGTTTTTATGTTTGTTGTTTAACGACATACTCAGCAAAATTCCAGTTATATGACAACGATCTGTCAATAATCCAAGTCTGAACCAGACAATCCAGTAATTGATATCAAGAGCATCGATTTATGCAATTAGGATATGATAACCAATTAATCATATCATGCCCAATGTACAATGTTTTGTAAACTATCATTATAATCTAAGACTTATAGAAAAACATAAGCATATTATTTTGAAAATAGATCACTTAATAACTCAGCAACATAAATAACAATCTCTTGAAGTTAATCTCCCTTGAAATGCCAATTTTAGCCTGACCACCGGGTATTACCAAAAACCTGGCCCCAATCAAGTTTAATATTAACTGTCCACATAGTCAGTGCCAACCAATATCTCAATCCCTCCCATACTAATATTCTATCCCCATGGCCATCCGACCACCATACAGTTTAACAGCTTTGTGCCATCAATTTCCATTAATCTTATCTGACAACTTGATACAATGGGTGCGATATTTACTGGTAAATGGCCTCATTTCATTACATGGCCAGGCATATCCACCAGCAGCCTCATCAACCAGGGATGTGCATCTCCATAAACCCAGACCTGTATCCCAGACCTTGGACACCCAAGTAATTGCTTCCTGGAGACCCTCTTCCATCAATCCTAGGTCCACTTTTCGGACTACCAGTAGTCCATGTAGAAAAGCATGAGTATAAGTCAATGCTTATACATTAGAGTCACAATAGTTATGGCACCATTATCGTCGTAAGTCAGTGCTTAGGTATAAGAGTCACGATAGTTATAGCACCATTATCGTCGTAAGTCAGTGCTTAGGTATAAGGGTCACGATAGTGATGGCACTATTATCGTCGTAAGTCAGTGCTTAGGTATAAGAGTCACAATAGTTATGGCACCGTTATCGTCGTAAGTCAGTGCTTAGGTATAAGAGTCACGATAGTTATAGCACCATTATCGTCGTAAGTCAGTGCTTAGGTATAAGGGTCACGATAGTGATGGCACTATTATCGTCGTAAGTCAGTGCTTAGGTATAAGAGTCACAATAGTTATGGCACCATTATCGTCGTAAGTCAGTGCTTAGGTATAAGTCACAATAGTTAAGGCACCATTATCGTCGTAAGTCAGTGCTTAGGTAAAAGAGTCACAATAGTTATAGCACCATGATAGTCGTAAGTCAGTACTTAGGTATAAGAGTCACAATAGTTATGGCACCATGATAGTCGTAAGTCAGTGCTTAGGTAGAAGAGTCACAATAGTTATGGCACCATGATAGTTGTAAGTCAGTGCTTAGGTATAAGAGTCACAATAGTTATGGCACCATGATAGTCGTAAGTCAGTGCTTAGGTATAAGAGTCACGATAGTTATGGCAATATGATTTTCGTAAGTCAATGCTTATAAATCAGAATCACGATAGATATAGCACTACGGTAGCACTTATCACTATAACAGTTAAAGCAGAGCAAAAGTCGTAAGTTCTCATGATAGAAAAAGCACAACAACCGTCACAAGTCCTTGCTGAGTCACGACAGTGCTGACATTACAGTATGGGACCCTTGCATGGAGGCTATGGAATACTCAGGTCAATCAAACACACAGAACTATCTAGACAGTTGTGTGTAATGACTGTTGACATGTAAAGACTAATGATGTGGAAACAGATCTCTACAGCACTTCAGGCGCCATATCATATCAATATCAGCTGGACGACTGATCTCTTCAGTGTAATGTATAAACAAGTATGGTCGACATGCATTATAAGTACTTATAATACCTTCAGCAAGAATTCAAGTTGAAAGCACCTCAATGAAGGGCAACAATATGAATACTCTTAATGATGACAAGAATATCGAGATACATTTTCACCACATAGTTGATAAATGGAAACATTTCTATTGAACTGGACCCCCCAAAACTGTTCCTGTCAAAAGTCCATGATCAGAATAGTTCTCCTAATAGTCATGGGACTATGGTTGTGTTTCTTTGGTTGTTTGTTGTTTAATGCAGGACTCACATGTTGGGACTGAATCATGTGACAATGAGTCCCCCTCCACCCTCCCAACTGTTGATGACGACAGAGACACCCATCACATCCGTGTGCGTTGTCTCATGTGTTTGCATGTCACATGCCAAGAAAACAGATTAAAAACATTTTTTTCCTTGGATGAAAAAAATTATTTTTCCACAAAGTGGCAGATTTCAGGATGTAGTTGTATACTGTCATTTATTAAACAGACAGCAGTGTTCTGACACCAGGATCAACGTAGTGTGAACACAGCAACTTCATCTGTCTACCTATAGTTTTGGATGCTGTTGCTGTTATTATTTGTTGTTTAATGCCACACTCAGCCATTTTCCAGCTATATGACGGTAGTCTGTACATAATCAAGTCTGGACCAGACAATCCAGTGACTGACATCATCAGCTTCGATCCACGCAATTGGAATACGATGACCTGCATCAACCAAGTCAGCGAGCCTGACCACCCGATCCCGTTAGTCGCCTTTTACGGAATGAGACATTATTTCACAGTCTCCAGTTTGTGTCAGAGTTTTTTACTTAACCGGTCAGTGATAGTACGTTCTGGATACTATCTTAGGTCATAGACCATAAAGTTAAACTGGTGGCTTAGGCTTCCTTTTCAATTCATCCGTGCATGACAGACTTCGCAGTGCCAGTGGTGTCTCTATCCACCGAGCTACACAGACAACCTATTATTATATATCACATTCCTTACTAACTGTATGAGAAGTGCCGATGCCACACTCAGCAATATTCCAGTTATCTGACAGCAGACTGTAAATGATCAAGTTTGGACCAGACAATCCAGTGACTGACATAATGAGCATCGGCACTTGCAATTGGAATATGATGGCATGCATCAACTAAGTCACCAAAACTTGACCATCCAATCCACTGGAGACAAATATTCTTACAAGGGCTGGGACGAGTCCAAATTTACTATCCAGTACCCGACCCCCTATTACCCGACTCTACCCGGGTCTCAAGAGTATGGAACAAAATGTCTGATTGGTAATTGTTTTACCGCAGCCCTGGCTAAAACTATTAAGATACATGTATCAAACAATCAGATCATGCGTTCAATGAAGTTGACTGAAGCTATATTTTTACTCAAACATTTACAAGTCAAAAGGAATGTGTGCATCGTCAGAAAGAAATGCGAACATTAGCGACTTGTAGTGTAACCACCGAGCTATAGTGAGTTTTTGTCATTTAACAATATATCACGTGACTAACCACGGGTCCGGGTAGTCCTGTGGGTTGCCGGATCCTACTCAGGACCCATCTGACCCGAGTACCCGAGTTACCCGTCCCAGCCCTAATTCTTACCCAGAATCTCTATGGCTTTCTGCAGTGCCTTTTATGCTGATTACAAATAGGGACACCGGTAAATGGGTTTACATATATTACCAACTGTGAATGTTAGTGAGTGAGATCGCTGTTATACTGATCTCAGCAATAATCAAGCAATATCATGAGAAATGACACCAGGAATAGGCTTCACACATTGCACCCATGTGTGGAATCAAACACTTAATCACTGGCCTACCTCACTGCCACTCAACTTGAGTGAGTGAGTGAGTGAGTATGGCTTTACGCCACTTTTAGCAATATTCAAGCAATATCACAGCGGGGGACACCAGAAATGGTGATTGTACCCATGTCGGGAATCAAACCCGGCTCTTCGGCGTGACGAGTGAACGCTTTAACCACTAAGCTACCCGACCGTCCCCCCCTTCAACTTGAACCAAACCATACCCAACAGCCTCTCATTTGATGCAAATGCACTCAATGGATTTTTAAACCCTCTTAAGGCCTGGCCAGTATATTTTCATGTTTCAATATGCAATGAGGTAAAGATCAAAATTATATTCAAGAAACAAGATGCAACAAAACTAAAACCCCAAAGCCATTTTTTCTTAGAATATAGTGTTTTATTGGGAAATTGAGGGTAGGCTCCTCAATAAAACATTGTTTTTACTTTGGCCAGAGAAAGAAATCAAGAATAACCACAGAAAATACAATACATGTCACATATCCAAAAAGTGCATGTAGAGAGTTACCTGCCCTTGCCAGAAATGCTGGTCGAATTGGCAATCAGGATGGACAATGATGCAAACAGAAAACAGAAACAAAACATTTTTTTCAGAGCTGAGCTGGACAAATACCGATAGATGATCACCGATACCTAGTGTGTCTGTGGTTAAGTGTGAAGTGTAGTCTTCAGTCTTACCTGTTCTCTTGCACACGAATTCATCACAACAGGATCCGGGCCGTAAATCCGCAGGGTTGAGAAGCACACTTTCAAATCCAGCAGCACATACTGGCACAGTACAGTAAGAATGATTACACACACACAACGACCGCGTCGTGGCACCGGTAGAGTTGACAATAAGATCCGAATCAAATGGACACTGCAGAGTTACATCCCCAATGGCCTCACAGTCTTCGCTGGTGCAGTTGTCAGGGCCAAATGCTGAAGCAGACAAACAAGTTGTTAGATTGTTAAATTGTCACAAGGATTAGATTTCTAATGTTAAGTATTTTTGGTAGAGTATTTTGGGTACAGTATTCTTTCATACAGTCTGGAACAAATATATCCAAAACAGCCCATGCAAATCTATAATATTTGGCAAGTCTAGATTACTGCAGTACTTGGAGAAAGTCTCTTGGCTCCTATTGATTATAAGTTATAACAATAATTTAACATGGTTTTTTTCTGTAAAAAAAGTTCATTTCAGGGACTAGATGTAAGTCTATGGGTAGAGGTCAATGGTGCAACATGGAGGCAGACAACCAAGGAAGGTGTTTGCGTTCCCATATGGGAATAAAACCGAGGTCTTCCCCATACTGAGAGGAACCAGTAACCACTGGACCATGTGAGAGATCACTTGAAGATTGTACAGGTCAAATAATGGACCGACCATTTGGTACTTATGGGATATGGGATATATATTTAACCATTAACAACTAGCAGGAATTTTACCATAACTGATAAAGGAATTAACAGGAATGTATCTATACTTGATAAGAGGCCTCTATGTGCCCCTAAGTCTGCAGCCAATGTCAGCAAAAATTCCCAAATTGGAATCATACATTTCCCAATTCATGCTGTTATACTTATAACTAATAATGTGGCTTTGTAGCGGTGACTTGTATTTTACTGATAGCAGGACCAATACAGAGAAAGAGGCTATAACGCTTATGTTATTAAGTGCAATGTTAAAATGCACTGTTAAAATACCACTGAAATAACAATTGTTCCCAATTTCCCTGCCATGGGCACTTAGCATTGAAACACAGAAAATACCTACCTACGTTTTACAAGCAAAAAAATAATTCAATGAAAAAGTCTGAATGCCCTGAAAGAAGGATGTTGTACGAGCTATAATTCTTGGCGCCTCTTTCGAAGAAAAACAATGTTCTGAAGCAGTGATAGAAAGGTGAATAAAAGTAAAATTGGAAAAAATCATCCACATTGATTAAGGAACAATGGTCAGTCTCTTTCATTGAGTTATGTCAAAACTGGTGTTCCTATATTGTTACCTCATACCTATAAGGAAAATATGTGACAAAAGAATAACTAGCTAACTTCATTCACCATTGTTAAGCCCCATGAATGTTGCAAGGATTTAAACAGAAGGGTTACCATTTTATTGTGTTTTTTATCTCAGAATGATGCATTCTCAACCCTGATTTCAAATTCTGCTTTCTTAATATCACACATATATCCAGATTATAAAAGAATGATTTTGGACGTGGAATGATCTCGCACAATACCAAGGATGCCATTTTAGATGCCGATATCGGGAAAACACACACAATACCGGCTATTCTATTTAGATAATTCATTGCTAGGCAACTTATTCATGCATTTCCTTCTGGAATGACAGACTCTAGAAACAATGTGCGCCAACTGCTACGCGAGGTGCGCTTTTGTTGTCGCCATCTGGAGAGGTCGCCTACTTCCTGTCCAGGGCTCACTCCCGCAACTCAAACCACCTACCTCTACCGACACATGGAGGCAATATGGCTGAGAAATGTGCACACAGACTGTGTAGCCAACATCACAACACAAAAGAAAATCACTCGGAATTTCACACAAATATTTCGGGTCATCAAAGGTCATTCTGGATTGTGCTTCCTTCCTGGTGCCTAGTACAAAGTTTGGTGCCAGAATTTTGGCGGTATTGCAAATGAGAGACTTTAGATGTCTACAGTGAACGTAACACCTTAATTCACTATGGAAAAGCCTTCTTCTGAAACATGATTAGTTCAAGACATGGTACACGTGAACAATCTATACTTATATTCAGAAACAGTTCATTTATTGGAAGGAAGGTAGGAATTGTGTTCTATTAATCTAACCACCCAATCCTCATCTTAACTGGCTTTCTTATTCAGCGCCAAAGGATCATTATTGGGGAAAAGAGATGTATTCCAAGCATTATGTACCAAAAAGATGTCTCTCACATAATATATATAACTTTTGGTGATTATGTATCACAATTAATATTGCACATTGACCATATTAATATTAATATGCTGAGCTGTAATATCCTTCTGAAACAAATGAAAATAATCTTCCTTTAGGGACTGACCATTTCATATCTGATTTGGTTTGGCTTGGTGCCATCTTATTGAGAAAAGACCGCTCTTGTGGTTGAGCGTCCGCCTGGAGAGCAGAAGGTTTGGGGTTCGATCCCCGTCCGCGTCATACCAAAAGATTTTAAAAGATGGTACTTGTTGTTACCCTGTCTGGCACTTGGCATTAAGGGGCTAAAACAAGGACTGGTCGGCTCAGAGTCAGTATACTGTGTCTGAGTGGGTATTCATGTTAAACTGCGGCATGGGATCTCAGTGAGCTAGCACTATAAATTGGCATCAATCCATGCTTATAAGTACAAGCAGCCACACACGCACGCACGCACGCACGCACGCACGCACGCTCACTTAGCTATATAAGTGCAATAATCATGGACGTGACGTTAAACCCAATTTCACCTCACCTTATCGAGAAAATAAATTCTTTCACTAAAGTTACATTGTTGTTCTTCTCCTTAAAAAAATATTCAGGCTGATAGTTTTAATTTAAAATGTTGTTTAAATTAAAACTATCTTTTTAACTTTGGGTGATTTTCACAATCCCAAATTGGTATCCATTTTTCATGGCCTTTCCCAGAAAGCAATACTAGCTAAGCTGTTTGTAATTATCATTTACATCATATTAATTTCATTTTAATATTCTGTGGAATAATCGTTGAATTTCTTTTCTGATCCTTCCAAACCTATTTTTTTACAACCCTCAGGTTGAACATAGGCTTGTGTGACCATGATTCTATCAGTTTGTTATAAAAAGCCATGGGATCCTGTTACTCAAACTGTGTCAGATATCACGATGTACGTAATGATAGCCATCATATAATATGAAATGTAGCTACAAAAATCTATGTGAGAAGCATGTACATGACCACGGCTAGACATGATAAACCCAGTGATGGAATGACGATGCAACATCCGACAATCATGATATGTGGGATATCTATACGTATACCTACATGTATCTTACTCGATTAATCTATGACAGGTGTCTGATTCACAAAGCTTGTACTACAGACAAATATTTTGACAGACAGTAAGTCCGATAAAACCTCGTTGATCGACAGTCGCCAACAAATGTCACGTATGACTATTCTGATAAACACACGTTCCGAGCTGCTATCAGAAATCACTGTCATTTACCCAGAGGTGGAAACATTGACAAAGGCAGTACTTACTCAATTACAAACATTTCAGGACCAACAAGGACCAATATTCATTACCCTGTGCGAGTGCAAGAGTTGACGACCTCAGAATTATCGGCCTATTTACATTTACTCCGATAAGTATCAACTCATTCGTTCATCATTTCACAACAGCCTAAAGCCATATTTCCTCATTTAATTTGCATTAATTTGTCTGAAATGTCTGTTTAGGCTTATCAGGAGGTCGTGTCCTAGACCCCTGACGTGACATTTGTCTGCTGCTTGTTACACTGGTGTGAGCGGTTGCCCATGTACTATATCCCTAATAACATATTACATTCCTAATTCCCCATCACCATATTGGCCTTTTCGTATCTTGGATCATTAACAAATTGCTCACTTCTCTGATCTGTCACGACTTTTGACGTGAACTCATTATTCCAATAACGGACTTTGTGATGTTACTCTCGCAGTTGTAACAATATCTGCAGTTTATTATAATCACTGCTCACAACAAGGAGGTACGTATTTATAAATAAATGCATATAGGACACAACAATTAACAGTGAGTGAGTGAGTGAGTGAGTGAGTGAGTGAGTGAGTGAGTGAGTGAGTGAGTGAGTGAGTGAGTGAGTGAGTGAGTGAGTGAGTGAGTGAGTGAGTGAGTGAGTGAGTGAGTGAACCACAGTGAGTGTATTGCAATACACACAATATTTATTGCTGGGTATGTTTAGAACTTGTATTTAAACCATAACAACTGATCGTTATATTATCCTACAGCAAACATTTTTAAACTTCAAATTTACAATCATATGTATAACAATTAATATTGCATATATGTATGACCATAATAATATTTATATGCTGCACTGTAACATCCTTCCGGAACAAAAATAAAAAAGTCTTACTTTAGGGACCGACTATTTAATATCTGGTTGGAAGGGTGGGGGTCAGTGCCATCTTATTGAGAAAAAATATTGTCCCAGGAAAAGTAATTTTGTCTGTCACTAAAGTTTCATTGTTGCATGGTGCTTTTCTTCAAACAGTATTCAGGCTCATATATTTTTTTTTAAATCGCTTAGTAACTTTAATAAATGAGCTTATGGGGTTTTTATTGCTTAGTTTTCACTGCACCCAGTGATTGATAGTGTGAGCAACAATCCATGCACTCATGATGTCACGATTACAACAAATCAGAGAAGAGGTTACATTGAAAGATCCAAAGACAGGTGCAGGATCTTCCACCCATCCACCCATCCACCCATCCACCCACCCCACCCTTTTCGGACAGTTTACTTGTCACCTGTTCCTTCTGCATGGCATTACTTTTCCAAAGCCTGGATGTGCCTCTGTGAAAACCTGCATAATTCATCTCTTAAAGGAGGACAAAATACTCTTGCCAAATGGCAGTCCTAGTCTTTATTCAAGTCATTCAAGACACATTCTGTATGTCTGGGCCTGACCCAAGTGAGTGAGTGGGTGGGTGGGTGGGTTGGTTTTACCCCACTTTAAGCATTATTCCAGCAATATCACGGCGAGGGACACGGAAATGGGCTTCATGTACCCATGTGGGAATCAAACCCATAGCCCCAAGACAATGAACATCTAGACTTTGAACATGGAGGAAAGTGCCCTTTGAGAGAGCATAGTCCCCATTAAAACAGCACAGTGCCCCTTTAAGACAGGACAGTGCCCCTTTAAGACTGCAAGGTGCCTCTTTAAGACAGCACAG